CCGGCTCCACTTCGACATCGGCGGCCATGACCGCTGGGACTACATGATGGTGATCGGTGAGACCACAGGCCCTGCTGTCCCGGGGTGTCCCCACAGCCCCAGGACCCCGCCCCGTAAATGCAGCACGTGGGGTTTTAATTTCCTTGTCCATTTAATCTGCCTGGAGCCTGCAAGCAGGGCTGGGGCGCCCGAGCTGCCTCCCACCCTCTCCTCTGAGCATCCCCAGGACTCGCCCTGGTGCAGGATAAATCACCCGGCGCAGGCAGTGAGTCCCGGTGGCCTTCGGGCAGGCTGCGCTGGAGGATGCTCTGCACCGGACCCGGCTCCGACCACGGCACGTGCCGACGGCAGCCAGGGTGAACGTGCTCGGCTGGATGCCACCCGAGGCAGGGAGGTCCCGGTGGGCAGCAGCACCCACCCCACAGCTCAGCATCCATCGGTGTCACCCAGGAAAACACGCCGACGGCAGCGGGGTGATGGGGCTGGATGCTCAGCATCGCTCCCCCGCTCTCTCCCGCAGCCGAAATGCTGTTCCTGCTGTGGGGCAGCTTCCTGTGCTACGCCACGCGTGCCGTGCCCTCCGCCTTCCACGAGCCCCGCTACATGGGCATCGCGCTCCACAACGAGCTCACGATCTCGGCCGCCTTCCACGTGGTCAGGTAGGGCACGGGGCCCTGAGGGGGCTGGGAACCGAGGTCCCCGTCCCCGGCGATACAGAGGAACTGGCGGCAAATCCCTGAAGCCGGCGGGTTCCCTGCATGGGTCCCCGGGCAGGGTGGAGGCTGCGGGGTCCGGAGGTGGGGAGGGGGCTGCGGGCACCTCGACGGGACCCGGCGCTGCCCTCCTCGCCCCTTCCAGGTTCATCATGGTCCCCTCGCTGCACCCCGACTGGACCCTGCTGCTGTTCTTCGCTCACACCCACGGCACCATCACCATGACCCTGGCGCTGCTCTTCATCCCGAAGGTAATGCTCGGCCCAGGGACTCGGGGAGACGGGGCTGGGGTTCCCCGGTGTTTCAGGGACCCCTCGGTGAGCTCGCCCCCTCACCACCCCCAGTTCTTGCACGCCGGCTCGCCGCTGCGGGAGGAGATCGCGGCCGAGGTCTACGAGGACGAGCTGGACATGCGGCGCTCAGGCTCCTGCCTGAACAGCAGCATCGCGTCCGCCTGGAGCGAGCACAGTCTCGACCCCGATGACATTCGGGTGGGTGGCACACTCAGGACCTTCTTTTGACGCTAGCTATGCAGCCCCGCGCAGAGTAAGAGGTGCCTTTTGCAATCTTTCTTCTGATGCAAAGCAGAGGGGGGGAGAAGGGGGTGCAGGGTGAACCGCCGCCGGCCACGGGTGG